GAGCTCAAGCCAACTGCAGAACTCCAGCAGAGCCCTCTTCCGGTGGCAGTGAGCCACGCAATAGGGCCACGTCCCTTGGTGGCTGTTGCCTCACTACACCAAAATGGTGACCTCAGGGGTCAACTGCTGCTCTGGCTATGCAGCCATGGGGTTTTGGCGCACCCCCCCGCCCACAGAATGGCATCTGCAGGTAGGTCAAAACACACCCGCCACGCTGCTCTTATTTTCTGATTCGTCTTCACTTACCTATGTTCCAAGTCTAAACAAATAACATACACAATGACAGTAATGAGAGTTTTTCTAACAAATGGTCAAATTTCTAGGAAAGGTGCAAAAATAAAATCAGGCTCCTCTTAGAAAATTAATGTAAATATTGCAAATAAGGGAAAATGGAGTCAGTGCTGAAGTAGGGAACAGTGTGAAGAACTAGCCACCAATTTAGAGAAATTTCATTCATTTATTTAACACATGTTTGAATCTGGAGCAAAGAGCAGGAGCTCTCTGCTTAGAACTACTTCATGCTGAGGACTGACAGCTTTCAGAGAGAAAACCACTCATACAAAACAGAACACCCACAGATTGTGGGATTTTCTCTGGCCCAACTTCCCATTAGTATGTTGGACCCCACATAGAGGAGCATATCAGAATTCAGAAAGGAATGCCCATGATTTATAGTCACATGAAAACAATATACATTTATGTGAGGTAATATTTATATGGTTTCTAAACCAAAGGGTGTCAAATAATATACAGCAAAAAGTCTACCTCCTTCATTTCATTTCTCCTTCCTTTAACTACAATTAACAGCTTCTTGTGTATATTCTAGAAATACTATTCCTATACTAATATATATCCTTATAGTCTTTGGTGGTTTTGTATTTGCTATTTTCACTCAACAGTATATCCTGCAGATATTCCCATTGAACTTCCTCATTCCTTCTTACACCTGCATAGTTTACTGATATACACTGTATCATGTTTTCAAAACTAATTTGCTATTATAATCTAATATCTGCAATAACTCTATTTTCAAATAAGATCACATTCTGAGGCACTAGGGGGCAGGATTTCAACATATCTTTTGGGGAGACATAATTCAATCCATAACATCTGCATTGCCAAGAGTGAAGGGAAACTGGCATGCTCATACACTGATAATGAGAGTGTGAATTGTTTCACCTTTTAGAATGGCAATTTGTCAATATGTATTTAAAAATTTTTAAATGTGCCTACTTTCTGAAAGAGCAATCTCAATATTTTGTTTTTATCCTAGGCAGGTAATTACATAGGAACAAAATGTTATATGGAAAAAGAAGGTCTTTGCAGTGTTCTTTATAGCATTAAAACAGAAAATAATCATAGGTAATTGGTTAAATGGATTATGATCCAGTAAGATGAAGATATTGAGTTTCACAATGAAGTGCTATGCTTCCCACTGATAGCAACACTTATCATTGTCAAGAAGGCTGGCTGTAGCCTCAGATGATGGCCTTTTAATTTTCTTTTTAAATTTAGAGTAAAACTAAAACAGGTAATAATTAATATATGCCCATTCTAATTGTTAAAATATTATTACTAACTACTTAGAACTAACAACAGAAAACAAATGTTGGTGAGGGTGTGTGGAAATGGAAACCCTCATGTACTCTTGGTGGGAATGTATACTGGTGCAACTACTATGGAAAACGGTATGGAGTTTCCTCAAAAAATAAAAAATGGGGGACCTCCCTGGTGGTCCAGTGGCTAAGACTCCACGCTCCCAATTCAGGGGGCCCGGTTTCAATCCCTGGTCAGGGAACTAGATCCCACATGTCAAAACTAAGAGTTTGTGGGCTTCCCTTGTGGCGCAGTGGTTGAGAGTCCGCCTGCCAATGCAGGGGACACGGGTTTGTGCCCCCGTCCGGGAAGATCCCACATGCCGCGGAGCGGCTGGGCCCGTGAGCCATGGCCACTGGGCCTGCGTGTCCAGAGCCTGTGCTCCGCAATGGGAGAGGCCACAGCAGTGAGAGGCCCGTGTACCACAAAAAAAAACCCAAAAACAAACAAACAAGAAAACTAAGAGTTCACGTGCTGCAACTAAAATATCCTGCATGCCACAACTAAGACCAGGTGCAGCCAAATAAATAAATAAATAAATAAATATTTTTAAAAAAATAAAAATGGAACTACTATACGATCCAGCAATTCCACTTATGGGTATTTATCTATCTGAAGAAAATGAGAACCCTGGCTTAAAAAGATATATACACCTCCATCTTCACTGCAGCATTATTTACAATAGCCAAGACATGGAAACAACCAAAGTATCTCTGCATGGATGAATGGATAAAGAAGATGTGGTATATATAGATACAATGGAATATTATTCAACCATAAAAAGAAAGAATTTTTGCCATTTGCAACAACAGGGATGGACCTTGGGGACATTATGCTAAGTGAAATAAGTCAGATAGAGCAAGACAAATATTGTATCTCACTTACATGTGGAATCCAAAAAACAACAATGATCATCCAAAAATGAACAAAAAACCAAGCGCATAGATACAAAGAATAGATTACTGGTTGCCAGAAGCCAAGGGTAGGTGTTAGGTGAAATGAGTGAAAGGAATCAGAAGGTACAAACCTCCAGTTGTAAAGTAAATAAGTCCTTGGGGTGTTATGTACAACATGGTGACTATAGTTAGAATACTATACTGCACATTTGAAAGCTGTTAAGAGTAGATCTTAAAAGTTTTCATCACAAGAAAAAAATTCTATAACTATGTATAGTGATGGACGTTAACTAGACTTCCTGTGGTGATCATTTCACAATACATACAAATATTGAATCATAATGTTGTACACCTGAAACTAATGTCAATTATATCTGAATAAAAATATATCACTGGGCTTCCCTGGTGGCACAGGTGGTTGAGAATCTGCCTGCTAATGCAGGGGAAACGGGTTTGAGCCCTGGTCTGGGAGGATCCCACATGCTGCGGAGCAACTAGGCCCGTGAGCCACAACTACTGAGCCTGCACGTCTGGAGCCTGTGCTCTGCAACAAGAGAGGCTGCGATAGTGAGAGGCCCATGCACCGCGATGAAGAGTGGCCCCCACTTTCCACAACTAGAGAAAGCCCTCGCACAGAAACAAAGACCCAACACAGCAAAAATAAATAAATAAATTAATAATAAAAATATATCACTAGCTTGTGTGTACATTTTATTTGGATCCTGTACACTTAGTGGCAAGAAAACCTGCTTCCAATATAAAATTACATAAAAAATAGCTTATAAAACAGTATCAATATTATGGCCCCATTTATATAAAAACATATTTATATTAAAAGTGCAAAGAGAACCTTCTTAAATGTTACACACCAAAATGTATAATAATCAGTTAATGCACGAAATTCTTCTAAAAAGTTTTTTTCTAGATGGTGGAATTAAAGAATATTTTAATTTACTTTTTTTGTTCCTCTGATATTTCTAATTTTTCTATCATGAATGTGCGATAAAGACTAAACAAACAGTGGCTCAACCAAATGAAATGGGGCTGCTTGAATCGCTAATGTTGGGTCTCAAAAGTTGATACCAGGTGAGCAGTGCTAAGGAGGGATGGGGAAGTCAGGAGAGTGAACAGATGCTATAGCCCCAGGAATTCTCTCCCTTCTATGGAGTGGACCTCCAGGGCCCCTGGGTTACCCTTGGTCTCTAGGGGTCCGCCTTGCTATGCTGGGTACTCTTTGCTCACAGGCTGGGGTGGGAGGGAGGGGAGGGTCTGATCTCAGATGGGAGGTCATTTGCAGCAGCAGCGGCACCCCACAGCAGGAGGTGGCTTCTGCTCAAAAATGCAAGGGTCACAGTAGGACAGTAAAAATACACTTTGTACATGCAGGCACTAAAGGTCCTCCTCCCTCTAACTGCTTGGGGAGAGCAGAACTGGCCAGGTGGGTACTTTCCCCTCACCCCCACAGATCAGCTGACCTTCTCCAAGAGATCATGTTCTCACAAACCTCTGGCCTTTTGAACCTCCGTATTGCCATTCTCAAGAATAGCCTTTCCCCACACCAAGTTCCAAATCTCTAAATCCTGTTGTCCTTTAACTCCATTTCAAATGCTGCTTTTTTGTTTCTAGCCCCTGGTCCTAGGATGGAGGGAGAACAGACCACAGACATACCGTAACACTATGAGAGGGAACAGCAGTGTCCAGCTAATGAAAAAAAGGACAAGAGTACCCTACTTCATTTATAATTGTGGATTCAGAGATCTTCCATGGAGACAAGTGTTGAAAGTTCCCACCCTTTCATGGCAAAAAATATTGTAAGATATGTGGGCCCCTAAGATATACTCCATTTTGTCAAATACCCTAAAGTTAGTTGGGATTCAGGGTGCGTCCTTCCTCAGGCCCCTACAACTGGTCAGTTTCAAATAGATAGGACTTAAGGCTACAGAACAAGCCTCTAAGTACCATTTATCAATATCCAAGGAAGAGCCATTGAGAGGACCTGGCAATGTTTGCCAGACACACTTGTTTCTGAAATGGGTGATTCACTTAAGAAAATAATTCCATGGCTCATTCCTGGACCTCCTGGCTGTGTTCTGGACTCTCCTGGGGTTATTACATTGCCACCTCTGTACTGGCGAAGTTAAGCAAATATCTTCATGAAAACTTTAGGATCAAAGTTTAGCTCTCCCACTATCATGGCTTCCTTCTGCTTTCTCTTCTACCACAGTCCAGCCCTAATGACCTCGACCTAACTCATGAATAGACAGCAGGGGATCATGGTTAAAAGCATGATCTTGGAAGCCAATCTGCCTGGGTTCAGATCTTGGCTCTGACAGTACATAACTGACATGGAACAAATTACTAAACATCTGTATGCCTCAGTTTCCTTAAGATAATAGTACCTACCTCACAAGACTGCTTTATTAACATAAGTTATTATAAGCACTTAAAACAGTGACTGGTATGTGGTACAGGTTACAAAAATGCTTGCTAAATAAAATAAAGAAATACCTGTACTAGACCGGATTATTTCTGTCCCAACAACATGGCCCAGCAGGTCATACTGATTCAGTCGAGAGCCATCCTGTGCCACTTCCACAGATTTGTTCTTCCCAAGAGTCCAAGAGTAAACTACTTCGGCTGTTGTATAGGCATCTAAGGCAGAAAAAAGTCAAGAAGGAGAAGTGAAGGGAAAGGAAAATGATTATCTTTGATACTAAACTTGCATGAGATTGAAATACAACTTCCATCCCAAAAGAGTTTTAGGTATGTGGTATATCTTCAACTGAAGCACATTTATCCATGCATGTATTAAGTACTTGTTGAACAATTACTAACAGTTTATGCTGGACACACAGAAATAAACCCAAAGTGGTCTCTTGCTTCAATGACTCACAGTCTTCTGGACTGCCAATAAATTGTTAAACTTTTCCTTCTCTTGGAGGATACAGAGTAGGGGCAAGTGGAGGAATGGTTAAAATATTACCTAATGCAGATGTCACAAATTCAAATGCCCACAGGAGCTAGAGAGGTATCTTAAATGACCAAATCAGGCTAGTTGTAGGAAAAATAAACTACTAGAAATGTAATAAAATTTTCTTTAACTAATTATGGGGTGAACATATGAAATAATGTAAAATATCATACTGGGGATATTTTAAATTAAAAATGAAAAATTACAAATTATAAAAAGCAATAATTAATGATTACAATTTTATTTTGAAATGTATTACCACTTTAATTTTGCAAACCAGAAACCTGCCACCATTTCCTCTGCATCAGGGTGTTAATGTCAGGTCTTGTATTTGGAATTCCAATGTCGAGTACAGAATTTAGTACAGATTAATTTTAACAGGGGTATGGGTAAGGAAATGGTGAGGGAATGAGGAGTAAGGTTATTTAGTTTTAGTCAGTATCTTAAAAGAATAGAGTTGCTTTCTTTCCAGACACAGATTAACTCTTTGCACAGTGGGTTTTATATTTGGGGTGAGCACTTTGCCCTAACTCAGATATCTAGGCTCATAGGGAAGCTGACAACCATACTGCTCACCCTCTTCATTCATTTTTGAGCTGTTTATTGTTCAAATCATTGGGAGGTCTCCAGCTCATGGTGGCAGCTATTATGTCCATAATATGCTCTACTTAAACCTTTTACCACAAAGCAAATAATTGCTAGTCAATCTACCAATGAACGAACATAAATTCTGTATCCCTACAAAACTTTGCAAGGCTAGATATGTATTTCATAAAAGTCTGACATTAACACTTACATATATTAATTGTGATCTGCTTATGTTACATTTTTTAGGACTTTTTTCAATATATTCAAGTAAATCATTTTCTGATTTGCTTATAATGGGCAACATGCCCAAAAGTTGTTCATTCACATCAAAATTCTCATTGAAATTATGAGAAAATACACATAACTATCATAAGTGACAAAAGAAAATGCCACAGGAAATCTAACTTTTAAACATAATATGCCCTGTATATGGTCTCAGTCATTTCTTCAACTCACTGACAAAAATACTTCTGGTTCAATGTATAATTTCTACTGCAGTTGAAGACATTTTTATAAATCTTGTGTCTATAAAATATTTTGATGCCTGTGAAGGTTTATTGCTTAATTAATGCATAACTGCTTTTCCCAGCAGCAACACTTAATGTATATATTCAAATACAAAACCTGTCGAACTTTCAGTCTGTTTAATAAAATTAAGATTTTCATTGTACATCTTTTTTAATATATCAATTATGGTTCTTATAATGGATTGCATAATGTTGATATCTGAAGTTTTATTTTTCAAAAAAAGCATACTGTGTATGCATAGAAACAGTGTATAAATAGTATTCATTTTTATTAGGAAATGCAAACTTGACATCTTTTTTGAAATAGTCCTTTCAGTCTATCTTTAATTTATTTATTTTAAATTTTTACAGCTATGGGTACAAGAACTATGTCACTTTCCTCTTAATTCACCTAGGAGCTCTTAAATCTATCAATTAAGTGAGTTGATTAATGGCAACTGACATTAGACCCTGTTTTCAGGGAGAGAGCAGAAAGTGCCCACATACAAGGGACAGCCACTACTCAGCCCCAGCTGTTTGTGGCCATGTGGGGATTTGAGTCCAATGTTGTACAATCTTCTGATTTCATAAAATAATAAACAAATCTGGAATTCTGTATGACATCTCCTAAATTTCAAATCTTGGAGGATAATTTTGAAGGTTATTAACACTGTATAGATCAAATAAATGACATCTGCAAACCACCAACTTGTAACCTCTTGTCTAGAGGTTTTCCCCTATGGATGGCTGTGGTCTTTTGTGATTCAGTTTTGGAAACAAAGCATCCTCTGCTGCCTATGGGGTATCTAGGGCTCCCAACTAGAATTGAGATCTTTAAACTATGATCACCAAGAAGAAAGGGATATCATCTCCTCAGGACTCTTCTCACACACTTACCTACAACTTATACTAAGACTATTAAGTGAGGACTATCACAAGGCTATTAATAATATGTGATTTCACAAGGTCCTTGTCCTCTCATTTTCCCCAGTGCCTTCTAACCTTAATATATATGTTTGGGTTCTACTATGCCTAAACATATAATTACCTGTATATGTCTTCTTTTATTTTTATTTTTTTATTATTATTTTTTATTTTTTTATAGAGCAGGTTCTTATTAGTCATCAATTTTATACACATCAGTGTACACATGTCAATCCCAATTGCCCAATTCATCACACCACCATCCCCACCCCCCGGCTGCCTTCCCCCCATGGTGTCCATACATTTGTTCTCTACATCTGTGTCTCAATGTTTGCCCTGAAAACCGGTTCATCTGTACCATAGTTCTAGGTTCCACATACATGTGTTAATATACAATATTTGTTTTTCTCTTTCTGACTTACTTCACTCTGTACAACAGTCTCTATGTCCATCCACATCTCTGCTAATGGCACAACTTCATTCCTTTTTATGGCTGAGTAATACTCCATTGTATATATGTACCACATCTTCTTTATCCATTCATCTGTCAATGGGCATTTAGGTTATTTCCATGACCTGGCTATTGTAAATAGTGCTGCAATGAACATTGGGGTGCATGTGTCTTTTGGAATTATGGTTTTCTCTGGGTATATACCCAGTAGTGGGATTGCTGGATCATATGGTAATTCTATTTTTAGTTTTTTAGGAACCTCCATACTGTTCTCCATAGTGGTTGTATCAATTTACATCCCAACCAACAGTGCAAGAGGATTCCCTCTTCTCTGCACCCTCTCCACCATTTGTTGTTTATAGATTTTCTGATGATGCCCATTCTAACTGGGGAGAGGTGATACCTCATTGTAGTTTTGATTTGCATTTCTCTAATAATTAGTGATGTTGAGCATCTTTTCATGTGCTTCTTGGCCATCTGTATGTCTTCTTTGGAGAAATGTCTATTTAGGTCTTCTGCCCATTTGTGGACTGGGCTGTTTGTTTCTTTAATATTGAGCTGCAGGAGCTGTTTATATGTTTTGGAGATTAATCCTTTGTCAGTTGCTTCGTTTGCAAATATTTTCTCCCGTTCTGAGGGTTGTCTTTTCGTTTTATTTATGGTTTCCTTTGCTGTGCAGAAACATTTAAGTTTCATTAGGTCCTATTTGTTTATTTTTGTTTTTATTTCCATTACTCTAGGAGGTGGATCAAAAAACATCTTGTGATTTATGTCAAAGAGTGTTCTTCCTATGTTTTCCTCTAAGAGTTTTATAGTGTTTGGTCTTACTTTTAAGTCTCTAATCCATTTTGAGTTTACTTTTGTGTATGGTGTTAGGGAGTGTACTAATTTCATTCTTTTATACATAGCTGTCCAGTTTTCCCAGCACCACTTATTGAAGAGACTGTCTTTTCTCCATTGTACATCCTTGCCTCCTTTGTCATAGATTAGTTGACCATATGTGCATGGGTTTATCTCTGGGCTTCCTATCTTTTTCCATTGATCTATGTTTCTGTTTTTGTGCCAGTACCATACTGTCTTGATTACTGTAGCTTTGCAGTATAGTCTGAAGTCAGGGAGTCTGATTCCTCCAGCTCCGTGTTTTTCCCTCAAGACTGCTTTGGCTATTTGGGGTCTTTTGTGTCTCCATATAAATTTTAAGACTTTTTCTTCTAGTCCCATAAAAAATGCCATTGGCAATTTGATAGGGATTGCATTGAATCTGTAGATTGCTTTGGGTAGTATAGTCATTTCCACAATATTGATTCTTCCAACCCAAGAACATGGTATATCTCTTCATCTGTTGGTATAATCTTTAATTTCTTTCATCAGTGTCTTATAGTTTTCTGCATACAGGTCTTTTGTCTCCCTAGGTAGGTTTATTCCTAGATATTTTATTCTTTTTGTTGCAATGGTAAATGGGAGTGTTTCCTTAATTTCTCCTTCAGATTTCTCATCATTAGTGTTTAGGAATTCAAGAGAGTTCTGTGCATTAATTTTGTATCCTGCAACTTACCAAATTCATTTATTAGCTCTAGTAGTTTTCTGGTGGCATTTTTAGGATTCTCTATGTATACTATCATGTCATCTGCAAACAGTGACAGTTTTACTTCTTCTTTTCCAATTTGGATTCCTTTTATTTCTTTTTCTTCTCTGATTGCCGTGGCCAGGACTTCCAAAACTATGTTGAATAATACTGTTGAGAGTGGACATCCTTGTCTTGTTCCTGATCTTAGAGGAAATGCTTTCAGTTTTTCACCATTGAGAATGATGTTTGCTGTGGGTTTGTCATATATGGCCTTTATTATGTTGAGGTAGGTTCCCTCTATGCCCACTTTCTGGAGGGTTTTTTTCTTAAATGGGTGTTGAATTTTTTCAAAAGCTTTTTCTGCATCTATTGAGATGATCATATGGTTTTTATTCTTCAATTTGTTAATATGGTGTATCACATTGACTGATTTTCATATATTGAAGAATCCTTGCATCCCTGGGATAAATCCCACTTGATCATGGTGCATGATCCTTTTAATGTGTTGTTGGATTCTGTTTGCTAGTATTTTGTTGAGGATTTTTGCATCTATATTCATCAGTGATATTGGTCTATAATTTTCTTTTTTTGAAGTATCTTTGTCTGGTATTGGTATCAGGGTGATGGTGGCCTCATAGAATGAGT